ATGATTGTGTTGGATTGACTGGAAGTGGAACATGTAGGAAGGAAGGACTTTCTAGCCTTGATGATCCTCAACTTTTGAAAGGCAGAAAATGGCCATGGGTTCAATCGTGTTTTACACAGTGACAGACAAGTTTGAAATGTTGCTGACAGGGATAGTGTGCAATGATACGTCATCCTTTATCTTTGGCCATTTGGACTGTCGACAATTGTACTGTTCAGTTGGCTTTGATTGAACTCCCAGAAAGAACAGACAACACAATGGCACGTGCTTCAACTTTCATTATCCCACAGCATAGTACAGCATATCACTGCGCATGCTCACAGCATAACATCCGGTACATCCGGTATCGTAAAATACGGATGAAACACCATAGCCTTCCTTAGCCAACCGAATTACTCAATTGTATGCTGAAACATGACAGACATTATTACCTGTGGAATTATTACTGTGGAGTTAGAAGGGGAAACACCTAAATAAATCAAATGATTGAACCCAATTTATTGTTACTGATTATTTTTGTTTATGTAAGTATTTTTTATATATATTATTTTTTAAGTTATCGGAATAATAAGCAACTATCTTTAACCTTTCTGATAAGGTGAAGTATGGCAGAATTTCTGCATACTGCACCAGGTTTGTTGGTGATGAGTTTTGTAAAGACATAGAAAGACCCATACTTATGAATATCCAAATATGACAGGATTTATTGATTCTTGTGAAAACCTTCATTCCAATGAAAATCTATCCAACTCACTCACTCCCACGTGTAGCTGACACAATGTGTTATAACTAGAATACTGTAAAAAAACTGTGTTAAACCCAACTCACTCACTCCCGAGTGAAGCTGACAATGTGTTATGACTAGAATACTGTTAAAAACGGTGTTAAACCCAACTCACTCACTCACTCCAACCTGAAGCTGACACAATGTGTTATAACTAGAATACTGTTAAAAAAAGCTTTAAACCCACCAACTTATTCCCAATGTCAGGAAGTGCCAATGTCAAGCTCCGAGCTCAAAGGACCTTTTCATACTCAAATATGATATATATTTGTTTTTATTCGTTTTCTTGCTTCATCACCCTCGTACCTAACAGACTGACAGATTGAGTCAAGAAAATGAGTTTAGTCCCAACAGGCTTCAATTTTAGAAGATGTAGTGTCCTCAAAATTGGTGTTAGCTGTTATTGTCCTTGTAAGTTGCAGCCGATAGATCAATAGTCCACTTTCACACAGGAAACGTTTTATTAATTTCAGCTGGTGTCAAGAGTCTGTCATTGTGGTGACAGGGCTGAGATTAGCTTAGATGACATGTTTGAGCAAAACATACAGCCAGCTTCCTAGCCTGCTGTCACAATCTGGCAGCACAAAGACCAAGATTGCATTTGTTGATGACGGCTCCGCCTGCTCTCCCACACACAGGAAAACTGGAAGATTATGTTCGATTAGTTTGGTCTCCTGTCTTTATACCTTAGAAGTGCTTTGTTTTTACCCGGCTTCATGCAGGTTGTTCTTGCAGAGTGAATGCATGTTGTATTATTGTCTCCTGGAGTTAGTGGGATGTCGGGTTCTGATGGATAGATAGAAATGGACTTGGAGTACCTGTATAGCAAACTTTCCCTGACTCGGAACATAACTTCAACAGGTTCATGCAGGTTGTTCTTGCAGAGTGAATGCATGTTGTATTCTTGTCTCCTGGAGTTAGTGGGATGTCAGGTTCTGATGGATAGATAGAAATAGACTTGGAGTACCTGTATAGCAAACTTTCCCTGACTCGGAACATAACTTCAACAGGTTCATGCAGGTTGCTCTTGCAGAGTGAATGCATGTTGTATTATTGTCTCCTGGAGTTAGTGGGATGTCGGGTTCTGATGGATAGATAGAAATAGACTTGGAGTACCTGTATAGCAAACTTTACCTGACTCGGAACATAACTTCAACAGGTTCATGCAGGTTGTTCTTGCAGAGTGAATGCATGTTGTATTATTGTCTCCTGGAGTTAGTGGGATGTCGGGTTCTGATGGATAGATAGAAATAGACTTGGAGTACCTGTATAGCAAACTTTCCCTGACTCCGAACACAACTTCAACAGTAATATGCTACCCAATCATCTTTTTTTCTCACAATCATTTAAGTTAAAATGTGTTCAGTGACTTTGCAGTTTCTCCTCCAGATCTTCAACACGTTAGAAATGTTACCATGTGAGTTATCTCCCCTGGTCTGGTAGTGGAGTTCTTGATGTCGGACTCAAGTTGATCTAAACCTGATCCATTCTCAAGTACCTGTCAGAGCACTAGTGGGAAGTTATTACATGAAGGAGCCAATATTTTAAACTGCAGTCGGTACTATTCCAGCCGACCCGTGAAGTTTCCAGGGTAGAATAGGTCTTCCGCAACCCATGCTTGCCGTAAAAGTTGACTATGTTAGTCGTAAGAGGCGACTAACGTGATCTGGTGGTCAGGCTCGCTGACTTGGTTCATGCATGTCATCGATCCCCATTAAATGGATCAATGTGCATGATATTAATCACATTAATCACTGGATTGTCTGCTCCAGACTCGATTATTTACTGACCCCCGTCATATAGGTGGAATATTGCTGGGTGCAGCGTTAAACAACAAATCAACCAAACAACACTATTACAGCCATGTAACTGTGCTGACTGGTAGCTATTGGTGATCACATTTATGCAGAAGACCCAGTACATACACTGTGGTGACTGTTTCTGGTGTTCCCCGCCATGATGTTGCTGAAAGCAGAGTTATTGAGATCTACTCACTCCAGCACGTTCTACTCACACTCAGTGAGTAACCACTGTCATCTTGCTATTTGTCGTGCCAGACTAACTTTTGTAATATAAAAAAATTGTGTTCTCTTTTGAGTAGTATATATTTGGTCTATCTCTTATCATTTATAGGGGCGGTCGGGTAGCCTAGTGTTTAGAGCGTTCGCTCGTCATACCGAAGAAGCCCATTTCTGGTGTCCCACGCATGATATTGCTGGAATATTGTATAAAGCGGCGTAAAACCAAACTCACTCACTCACTTATCATTTATGTAATCCCAGTCATGTATATATAAGGGAGAATATCTGCAAAACTCTCTTTTCCTTACATATAATGATATTATACCTTTAGGGCCCTCGTCTTGTTTTTCTGAAATGGATAGTTTCTTAGACCCTCCGTTAACTGAGACCTAGTACACATATGAACAAAGTGATCAGTCCAGTTGAAATGTCGTTTGCATGTTGTCACATTCGGGAAAATCAATCTGGCAGAGATTATGAGGAGGTTCAATATTTGATTGGCATTTACTGTGATTGACAGAGGAACCATATCTTGGCCACACAAGGCTGTCTCTGTTTATTGAGCAAGCTGTGCTGGCTCTCTTAGAAAAATAATCATACAAATATTTTTTGTCAAGCTTTTCTAGTGATTACTTTTCTGTTTCTAACTGATGAGGTTTGGTTTTTTTCACAATCATACTAAAGGACGATTATTTCCAACTGCGGCTCCTCTTTATGTAAAACTCTCTTGAATGTCTAGCTGCTTGTATGATGGGTTTGTACAAGGATTTGTCTCAGGCTGAGTAAAATACTGGAATGATGAAACGCCTTGAAATGACCTTTTATTTCAACTATTTAACCCGGGGACATGGGTGGCCATGTTGCCTAAGGTACAGTTTGCTGTGCAGGTACATCCCTTTGGGATGCCATATCATATGGTCATGGGTTCAAATCCAAGACAAAATTAACAAAAGTACTGTTTAATGTTAGTTCTCAGAAAATAACAACACAGTGGTGGATTATCAACTTATTGACTTTAACTCATTGCAATTTTATTCATCAATAATGTGTTAAACGCTTACAGTATTTTACCTCTTACATTGTCTAGTGGTAGAGCGTCCGCCCGGAGAGCGGAAGGTCCGGGATTCGATCCCAGGCTGCTTCATACAAAAACACCTTAAAAGATGGTACTTGTTGTTACCCTGTCTGGCGCTCGGTATTAAGGGGCTAAAACAAGGACTGGTCGGCTCGGAGTCGGTATACTGTGTCTGAGTGGGGTATTCATGTTAAACTGCAGCATGGTATCTCAGTGAGCTAGCACTATAAATCGGCATCAGTCCGGACTAGTACAAGCAGCCACACAAACACACACACACGTACATGCACGTCGCTATATAAGTGCAATAATCTTGAATGCAACGTTAAACCCAATTTCACCTCACTTACCTCTTACATTGAATTGAAACTAGAATGCTTAGGTAATGGAGGGAATCAATAATAGCCTGACCATCAGGTGTTCAGTTTTTAAAACTGACCTTCCGTCAAGACTGTCGGGCAGCATCGAATGTTGAGCATAGAACATATAGCACTGAATGGAGATATAGTACCCTGGATAATCAGCAAAGCAGCAGTCGTCTATATCTACCGGTATACACATCGGTGAAGGGTTGTGGGGGTTGGGGGTATTAATGCAGCTATATGACAGCATTCTGTAAATAATCAGATCTGGACTAGACAATCCAGTGATTGACATCATGAGAATCAAACTATGCAATTGTGATTGCAATTGACATGCATCAACCAAGTCACCGAGCCTGACCTCCCAATTCATTCAAACAAAGGTTGCTGGGGGTCTGTATTCCTACCTGGAACCTCCATGGGTTAAATGAAGTAGAAATAAAAGGGCATGTAATACAGCTGAAGTCGCAGTCTTCCGTTCCTGTCGGGACACCAACTAACACACGGCTGTTAACAACTTCAGAGGCCTCATCAATCAGATTCAGGCTAAAAAAAATATAAACTTGGTTTTTCAGTCTTTCTGGAGAGCAGCATTTTCTTTCTGAAACAAGAAATGTTACCAGCGTCCAATTGTCATTGCCCTAAAACCAATGTATTAATTTTTCAGCTGCTGACTGCTGTTAATACAACTCATTTAAATACAGCAGAATAAGGGATACTAGTATATATTTTATTTCGGTGTTTTTGTGTGTTTTCAGCCTGACTAACTCCAACAGCCTGTCGAATGTCAGCAGCACGCTCAGTGAGCGTATGCATGAACTGGTGCGGGCGTTCTCAAGCCGGACCCAGCGCACCAAGGAGAGGACAACGCAGCCTCCCTCCCCCTCCTCCGTGTCCAGTCAAGATGCCAAGTCAGGTCAGTTGCTCAGTTGTGTCCCCCCTGGGGATTCCAGGTCAGAATACGTCCCCGCCAACCTGTGTTGGTTGGAAGAGGCGACTAATTGGATCTATTGCTCAGACTTAGTGATTTGCTTGATGACATGCACCAATGTTTGCTCCATTGTCATATCCTCACCTGTACTGCCAACAGTGTGTGCCTTTGTTCCCATGGAAACACTATATAACTAATTATGTAACGTTCCTGTCATATTTACATCAGTTCTTGAGAGGAAGGGGCTGGTGTTATTGTTTGAAACAATGTGTTTCAGTGCACTGTCCAAAGATTACAATTAGCCCTGTGGGGATGCCAGGTTAGAATTGGTCCCCAGCTTTGCTGGTTGCAAGAGGGAACTTTATGGACTCGGTGATTTGGTTGATTGCGCGTCATCGTACCCCAATTTCGTGGATCATTGCTAAAAATATCAATCACTGGATTGTCTGGTCAGGTTTGATTATTTACAGACTGCTGTCAATTATCTGAAATACTGCCGAGCGTGGCGTTAAACAACAAACAAACTTAGCTGTGTAGGCTTGTACTAGGTCTATCATTTTTCTTGTATTCAGTTCAACAGAAGATGTATGTCTTGTCAAAAGTGTTATGTATGCTGAAAAATATGTTATTCAGCTTCTAATTTTAATTTCCAATCCACAATGGGGCATCATCACATCATATGACATCACATACGACTTAATGCCTTATTCAAAATTGTGAAATTCTTGTTAATTAATGATTAGACTCTGAGAACAGACTCGGACATTCTATTCTTGTTTGTTTGTAGTTTAACACTGCACTCAGCAACATTCCAGCAATATGATGGCGGTCTGTAAATAATCGAGGCTGGACCAGACAATCCAGTGATTGATATCATGAGCATCGATCCACGCAATTGGGATCAAGTCAGCGAGCCTGACCACCCGATACTTGTACTGCAGTCATAAACTGCTGTGTACTCAGTTCCAAATTCAAATAGCACAGTCAAATCTACAAGTAACCTAGCCCTACATTGAAAACACAGTATTTTTATCTCCCAATTGTACCATGATTTTGGAAAATATTTGATTCTGATTGGTTAATCAGAGGTTTCAAATCACAATAACCACCTCTGATTTGATGGATGCATTACCGCAGAAGCTAGTCTTAATGGAACATTTCTTTCTCAATCATTGGTACATTTTTTTTGATAATGAAGTTACAATTATTGGGTACAAAAGGTATAGTTTCAGATACTACACTATTTAAAGTATGTGTGGCAGAACATTTTGGACCGAAAGCACAATAGACTTCAACTAAGAGAGTGTATTTCAAGTGTCAGGGACAACAGAGAGCTCGAAATTATACACTTTCAAAATCAATACACAATTCAATTTAGCACAGTTAAATCTACAGGTAATCTAGCTCTGTCTTGAAAACAAAGAATGTTTATTGTCAAACTCTGACAGAGGAGTAATCAAGCTCATGGATGACTTGTTACAAATCGGGTTCTGATCTGTTCTAAATTAATATGTCATGATACAATTTGCCTTTGCAAAATTCCTGTTTAAAGTGTTAACCATAAACTGTGCCACTCCAACAATGTGGCAGTTTGCCTTTCAGCAAGACCATTGCACTCATTGCTGGGGATTTGTCAAGCTTCAAACTGTCTTCATATATCATGGTTTCAGAAGGATATAAATAACAATAATGGCTGATTATTAAATATCATTAGCTGCCAGGGAGCTCCTTATATCTGTTATTACAAGATTCTTTAGGGGAAAACACCTGGTGTCCTTATGACCTGGACTCTCATGATAACCAAATCTTTAGATCCAGATTGAATTTCTTAATCTGCACTATTCTGCCTCTCTAAGACCTGAGGCTAAATCCTCCACACTTCATGTAATTTTTATACCAGTCATCAGATCTATCCGTTCAGGTTATCTTTCTTATAACCTTTATTGATTTCTGAAAAAAGCATCTTTTTATCAGTAATTGATTTCTAAAATTGGGTGGCTGTATAGATTGACACGACTTCCGAATTAATTTTGCAACAAGAACTGGATCGCTTTTTGAATTGAACATTTAATCAAATTTGAGCTCCTGGAGTAAATTTGTTTCAACAAATTCCCAATGCATTAGTCTTTGATCAAATTAGATTTTTTAGGCAAAGGAAATATTTAGGAATAAACTTTGTCAGCATCTGAGATACCTTATTGAGTGTCAGTGTGAGTATATTTTGTGGACGCGGTGCCGATCATCCAGCTGAAATAATTACCAGTTCCTGATTGTCCTGCAGGGCAGTGATGCTAGGCAGTACGGGAAATGGAAGGACCTTAATGACAGATTTACGTATTTAGCTCTCCTGTGTCATGAAGCCCACACACTGATACTGCTGTCTGATAGGAGTGAAGTCCTATACCTAGAATTGTTTGTGTAATTTGAGGGAAGCTTAACAGATTGACAAAATGGACACAGTTGCATTATAATAATGAACAAAATGGAAAACTATTCAGCCACAAAGCTGAGATAGCGGATTTGTTGTAACAATGACATGTGGTTAACATCGGCTGAAATCGTCATGGCAAGGTGAGACTGGCAGCTGTAAGACGTTGCCCAGGATAGATTGTATGTCATTGTGTATAGGTAGATGTGAGTCACTTGAAACAAACGTCAGAGGTTTTCTGGCTCAAACCTTGTTCCTATAGAAACCTACGGAAGGTTAGAGTATTGATCTGGCATCTGACAGCATTGTTTATTTGGATTATTAAAGTCTTAGGCAATGAAACCTGATATCAAAGATCACTCATTTCTGCCATTTTGTTTTCCATTTGCTTTTGATATTTTGAATTTGCAATTTCTACATAATGAGAAAAGTTTTTGCAATGTTTGTTGGCTAATGTGACTGTAGCACTATTGAAACAAATGGATGTGACAGGCATTATTTTCTTAGATAACGGTTAATTTAAATGTGACGCTTATGCTATGAATCAGAGTACCGTAATCAATGTAGTTAGCACCAAGGTTGTTTGACCGAGTCAGCATATAAACAGACATGTATTAAGATATCAGCTAGAAGCTCAGCTTTTTGCAGAGATCAACAAATGTGATTTTGTTCAGGTTGCCTAACAACCATGTGCACACACACACACCCTAATATCTGGTCCAGTTACAATACCTTAACTCACTGCAAACCATAATTTTTACGCAAATTTAAGTTATCCGTTTGTATTTTGCAAATATTTCAACAGTTTGTCTCCTTTCATTCAGCTTTAGGTAAACAAGATAGGGAGGCAGGTTTCAAGCAGCCAGATTCCTTCAAATTGAAGAGCTTTGGTCGTGATTGATGTCCGTGTTTGTCCCGTGCACTGTTGTATTTGTTGAGCCACTGCTGTAAATGTTTGGACATGTTACCAATACACTTTGTGTCCAGACCAGACCACTAAATAAATGTTTTCACACTTCTTATCAATGTATATATAATGGTTCTTTAATGTAAACTTGCATGCTGATCACATGTTCCAAAAATAGCAAAAGAATAAATGTGATCATGGCAACAAACGTTTACATATAATAATCAATAGTTAGGCACATATCTTATGTTCCTTTTCATCGTTGAACACAAAACTAAAGCACTCTTCTGACAGTATGGAGGGACCAGGTGGCACAGCTGTCTAAGGTGCTCCAGTCGAAGTGCACAGTTGTCTCCCTTAGACGTGCCAGACACCTATGTTCATGGGTTCGACTCCCAGAGGGTTGTTATGGGTGTAGGGATGGGATGGAGGGTTGTGTTATGGGTGTAGGGATGGGTTGGAGGGTTGTGTTAAGCATGTAGAGATTGGTTGGAGGCTTGTGTTATGTGTAGGTTGTTGGTTGGTTGGTTTGTTATTTAACGCCGCACTCAGCAATATTCCAGCTATATGATAGCAGTCTGTAAATAATCGAGTCTGGACCCGACAATCCAGTGATTGACATCATGAGCATAGATCCACGCAATTGGGATCGATGACATGCATCAACCAAGTCGCCTTTTACGACAAGCATAGTCACCTTTTACGGCAAGCATGGGTTGCTGAAGACCTATTCTACCCCAGAATCTTCACAGGTCTTTTATGTGTAGGGATGGGTTGGGGGGGTTGTGTTTTAGGATGGGCTGGAGGATTGTGTTATTGGTGTGGGGATGGGTTGGAGGGTTGTGTAATGGGTGTAGGGATGGGATAGAGGGTTGTGTTATGGGTGTAGGGATGGGTTGGAAGGCTTTGTTATGGGTGTAGGGATGGGGTGGAGGGTTGTGTTATGGGTGTAGGGATGGGTTGGAGGGTTGTGTTATGGGTGTAGGAATGGGATGGAGGGTTGTGTAATGGGTGTAGAGATGGGATGGAGGGTTGTGTTATGGGTGTAGGGATGGGGTGGAGGGTTGTGTTATGGGTGTAGGAATGGGATGGAGGGTTGTGTTATGGGTGTAGAGATGGGATGGAGGGTTGTGTTATGGGTGTAGGGATGGGATGGAGGGTTGTGTTATGGGTGTAGGAATGGGATGGAGGGTTGTGTTATGGGTGTAGGGATGGGGTGGAGGGTTGTGTTATGGGTGTAGAGATGGGATGGAGGGTTGTGTTATGGGTGTAGAGATGGGATGGAGGGTTGTGTTATGGGTGTAGGGATGGGATGGAGGGTTGTGTTATGGGTGTAGGAATGGGATGGAGAGTTGTGTTATGGGTGTAGGGATGGGGTGGAGGGTTGTGTTATGGGTGTAGGAATGGGATGGAGGGTTGTGTTATGGGTGTAGGGATGGGATGGAGGGTTGTGTTATGGGTGTAGGGATGGGATGGAGGGTTGTGTTATGGGTGTAGGGATGGGATGGAGGGTTGTGTTATGGGTGTAGGGATGGGTTGGAGGGTTGTGTTATGGGTGTAGAGATGAGATGGAGGGTTGAGTTATGGGTGTAGGGATGAGATGGAGGGTTGTGTTATGGGTGTAGGGATGGGATGGAGGGTTGTGTTATG